ATAAATCAGAAAATTTGCCACCATAATATATTGGACTAGGGCAAAAGAGCCACAACGGATGAGCAGGCACAAGCATGCAGTAGTGTGCCTCACTGAGAGACTGCTTCTCTCAGATAAGCCAAAATCTTCAACCTTCACTCTTCCTATAGTCCTTCTCTTGGAGGATTAACCGCTAGTGACTGAGAGCGATCACGGCGTGCTGTTGGGAATGCAGGTGCTCTCGATTAGGTCAGAAGTTTGGCTGCAGAAGGATAGCATGCTCAGCCAGTCGTTTGGGATTCTCTTTGGCCAATCAAATTCCCCTTTTTGCTCCAGACTGCCCAATGTATCTGTGTTTCTTTTCCAGAATGAAGAATCCTCACCTACGAGCCAAGCTGGCCGAAGTGTTGGAAGCAGTGATGCCTCACCTGGATCAGGTCCAAAACCCCCTTGTTTCCAGCATGTTCCATCGCGAGCGAGTGTTCTGCTCCTACCTACATGCTGCCCGTCTGGCTGAGGCACTTATCAAGGTCTTTGTGGACATTGAGTTTACAGGTGAGCAGGAAAGGGGAGGGATTCGTTTCTTGCTCTGAGAACAATCAATGAGAGGCTATCTGCAGGCTTTGACATACCTTGTTCTATTCAGTGGCGGCCCGTCAATACCAAGAAAAATGGCCGTTGAGGGCTTTGGAGGCGGGGGCGCCGATTGTGCATTTCGTTTAGGGCGCCAGTTGCCAGCAGCTCATCTAGGGCCGCTCCTGGTTCTATTGACAGTGATGCACCAACCCCAACCTAGTCAGGCTTGGTCATATCCATTAGACCATATTACACAGACAGCTCTCTAGCAAAAATGCAGTTGTTCTGAATTGCTGATGTAGGCAAAGCTGCAACATGTCTTGAAAACACATGCTCTGGAAAGCTGCATTTCATGGTCTAATCAAGTCCCCTTAGGTAGCTGTGCCCACTAGGAGTTCCACCTTGCTCCCATTGAAGGCAGTAGCAACACTCCCATTGACTTCAGCTGGACCTGCTCTATTCAGTGGGAAACGAGCACATTTCCATACTCACAGACCTTCCATAGGTGGCTTTTCTCAGAGGCCACTTCAAGACAGTCGTATTCTTACAGCCCTCCATCTCAGCCAGCAGCCTAGTCAGGATGCTCTCCTCCCTCTGGAGCACTCAGTCACAGAGCAAGAATCACAATGGGGCAAGGAGAAGTGTTCCTGTTCCTCAACCAACCAAAGTCCACGTATGCTGCCTCCACAACATTTCTGCCCCGTTTCCCAGACCTGAGGCTCAGTGTTCGACTGGCCCTGGCACACTCATTTTATCCTGTGCTCTAACTTCATTATCGTACATTCTGAGTGCTCATCCCAAGAGGCGTCCAGCAGCTCAGCAGACTGCCTCAGCACTGTTTGTCTCACAAGCCCAGCGGTTAACCCAGCTCCCACTGAAATCAGCGATAGCCTCGCTGCTGACGTCTGTCGGAACAGCATGGAGCTCTTTGCTAGTGGGGAGGCGGGGAGATGCTCAGTGCTTCAACTTGGTTGCTCCCTCTGAGCTGATGGTGAGCACCATGTGCTATTGCCAACCACTGCCAGCACAAACACAGGGAAATCCCAAGAGCTATTAGTGACTGGGGCGCTTACTTCAAGGGAAAATGGAGCAAAAGCATAGGATGTACCACTAACTTTGTAAAAGTCTGTCTGTCAGCTTTCAAAGGCATGAACATTGGTTTCTGTCCTGTTTCTTTGAGACAAACTCTCCTGGTTTTAAGGTCTATTTCTTCTGTTAACTTTAACAGCCCCTTTAAAATAGTTCAGGAACCTCTCTGATGTCACAGGTTGGGAGCGCTGAGCATTAACTAATGCAGACTGGTTGCTTTAGTTGAGTAAATCTCGCTAAGTGCACATAAAATAGTCCCGCTCTGTGAAGCGTATACAGTATTGGAGCTGCATCGCAAGAACAGATCCGGCAACAAGGAGTCTAGTGATAGTGGCAAATTGATATTTGAAAGTAGCATTTAATCAGCTCTTGCTTCCTGGCGTTGGCTGCATTTCAGGAGCTTGCTGTGACAGTTGTTCCTTGCTGAGCAGGGTGCACTGTGAAGTCAGCTTTAGATTTTTCTCAAGGACTTGAGCAGATGTTGCTCTTCTCCAGCCTGATGCTAAGTAAGCTCCTGTCATTGACAGGGTCAGCTCCCTGGGAGACTTACTGCAGCCTGGAACTCTGCTGTATCGAATCTCACACATCGCTGGGAATGCAAAGAGCTCCACAGCTGTGAAGAGCTCTAGAGATGTTAAACCCTGTGCCAGTGCTTGCTGCTTAGTTGAAGCTCCCTCTCCCTTTTGCTTTTGTTCAGGGGATCCCCATCAGTTTGAGCAGAAGTTTAACTATCGTCGACCCATGTATCCCATTCTCAGATACATGTGGGGGACAGATTCATACCGGCAAAGCATAAAGGTAAGCTAATATATGCACCTCTGTGGCTTGTTTGGTATGTACAGCGCCGTATAGTGTCATGTAACTCAACACTTCAGTTTGCTCTGTGGTGGAGCACTAACTCCTCCATTCTGCGTGTGACTTGTAGGGTCTGGCTGATTATGCCTCGGAGAACCTAGAGGCAATGAACCCTCCTCTCTTCCTGCGCTTCCTTAACTTGCTCATGAACGATGCCATTTTCCTGCTGGATGAAGCCATACAGGTAGGGCTTGGAAGGTGTCTTAGTTGTGGAAGTGGAAGCAGGCACAGCTCCTATATGTCAGATGGCTGATGAAGGTACCAGACCTATATCCCTCACCTTAACTCCTAGTGAGGTCTGTCTACATCGGATGCTTTCCAAGCAGTTTGGCAGAGTTCAGCCAGACTGATCATCTGCTCAGGAGAAACCCAGAGGTGGAATAGGGAGAGATGCTGGAGAGCATAATTGAAGGGCTTTTGGACTGGGGGCTAGAACTCCAGGGCTCTGGCAGACCAGGTTCGGTATCAGGTTGAGGAGGCTAGAGAGGGAGAGGAAGCCAAAACCAAGGGAAGGATTTTCAGGTCAGGACTGAAGTCCGTTGGCTGAGTTGTGAGGAAGTCTGCCTGTTGCTTATATGAACTATAACTGGCTCATGTGAGTCTTCTTGCAGCTTGTGATCATCAAATCCCTCTGGCCTGCTTTGCAAATGCCTTGTTATTTTAGCAGAGATGTTGCCGTCTCAAGACAGCCTCCTCCTTTGGGCTTAAAAGGCATCAGACCCAGATGAACTTCTTTGTCCCTCGTGTGTGATTATTTTCTATCCACATCTTTTGAAGCTGCTGCTTGCTACTAAAAAAAGGGGCCTTGGAAGCTCAGTTGTATGTCCTGTGGTGGAAGTGTGAGCCTGGCAGTACAGATGTGATCCACCTGCCTGAGTGTTTTTTAGGCTGTTCCTAATGTTGCTTTGCTTTAAAAGAAGGTGCTGTGTTTTTGTTTGTTAAATACATGTGGTCATGGGAGCCCTGTGTAAGCGTGGAGAGAAAAGCTCCTGTCATTGACAAGGTTGGCTCACAGTGAGACTTACTGCAGCCTGGAACTCTGCAGTGTGAGATCAGGAGAGCAAAGAGCTCCACAGCTGTAATGAAACTTCCAAGTTACTTCTATGTTGTGGCTGAATCTGATTTAACCCCAAGGAATGACATTGTCAATGAATCCTCTTCACCCTTCACTTGGTCCTTCTCCACCCACCTCCCACTTTTTAGCTCCTACTTTCCTCTTTTCTTTGTGAGGCCCCAGGGAATTGCTGCTTATTCGGTTGCAGTGAACGAGGCCTGTTCGGAATCTGTCAGTCAGCAGCACTTCTGCGGGTAGTAGGAAGCACGTGAGAACTTGTGCTGACCTGGCAAAGCAGAAGCCTAGTCTGGAAAGTAGGTTCTATTATAACTGGCACCCAGAACCCTGGGCTAAATTATTTCCTTTCTTGATTTTGGTTTCACTGTGTAATTGGCACTAGTGAAAAATACCCAATTAAAGTACCAGAGACTTAAACCCTCTGTTTATCAACAAGCCACATTCATTACAAGCAGCAGCAATTAAGGCTTTCCCCCAAACTGCTCTGTCAAGGGGCTTCAGCCTAGCCTCAAGGGAGGTGAGGAGTGCCTCCACGGTCCAATTCAACCCAAGTCCCTTCCTTAGGTTGCTAATTTTGTAGTGGAGTTTATCTGATGTGCACATGTGCCTTCTGGGTCTAGGAGATTTCCCAAGACCTACTGAACTCATGGAATAATTTCCCATGTAAGAGAGGATGAAAGCATTCTGAGCTTGCCAGGATTACTAAGTAGACCACACTGCTCAATTCCTCTGCTTTATCTTTACAGTACCTCAGTAAGATAAAAGTTCAGCAGATAGAGAAGGACCGTGGTGAGTGGGACAGCCTGTCCCCAGAGGCTCGTAGGGAGAAGGAGTCCAGTCTGCAAATGTTTGGTCAGCTGGCTCGTTTCCACAACATCATGTCCAATGAAACCATTGGAACTCTGGCCTTTCTGACCTCAGGTATGGACAGCAAGCTCTCGTAGCTGGGAATGGGAGAGTGGCAGTGGTTGGGGGAGTTTTGCCTGGTTTAAGGGGTTGGTGCAGAAGGGTTGATTTTTATTTTGATGCTCAGAGAACTGTTGGCTTCCATTCCAGAAATTAAGTCCCTGTTCGTGCATCCTTTCCTTGCTGAGCGCATCATCTCCATGCTGAACTACTTCCTGCAGCACCTGGTTGGCCCTAAAATGGGAGCATTAAAAGTCAAGGATTTCAGCGAGTTTGACTTCAAACCCCAGCAGCTTGTTTCTGACATCTGTACCATCTACTTAAACCTTGGGTATGTGAGGGTATGAGAAGCTGTGGGGGAGCAACAGTCCTGGAGAACAGGACCCCTATTGCACAATGGATTCACATTGCTGGGTGGCAAAACAAAAATATTTCTGGATATTTAGTCTACTAAATCCATTAGCGCGATGCTGCTGAGCTGCTCAGGACCAAATTCTACTCTGAGCTGACTGCAGTCAGCATAAATCCAGCCAGACATTAATTTCGGTTCTAAAACTTGTTTTTAAGCCATCACCCGCCATCTGAACAATTAAATCTTTAAGCCTTAATGGGAGACTACAAATAATGGAGAATCTGTGAATTAAGTATAGCAGTCTTTTCAATAGGAAATCTGACCAGTATCAATCATTTTTATGTGATCTAGGTAGCTCTGATTACACTGGGAGCTGACCTCTGCTAGCTATGATTGTGGTTACACATGGTTGTGGGTAGCAGAATTCTCTCATGATCTCCTGTCCAGTGTGGTGGTTTTGTATTTTGTGATATTTTTGTCTTGTCTTTTTTTTAATTATGGTAACCACTCTATGCCATACATTGGCTCCTTGTAGCATAGAGAACCTCCCCTTCCCCCATCCGCACTAGCCAGGGAAAACACCTACAACCTTGGCAGCAGTAACAGACTTTAAATATGGCTGTAGCTAGTGTAAAACCTATCCGAGCATAGAGACGGTCTAGGAGAAACTACTCAGCTGTTACAGTGAGGTGTGTCTCCTTTCACATTGCCATCTCCTATGTATATTTTACTGAAATAATTCAGCTGCTGTGTGGGGAGATGTCTCTGCAATCTCGCAAATCGCTCTTTCCACAAATCCCAACAATTATGTTCTTTTTCTTTCTGTAATTGTGGTTCAGCGATGCAGAGAATTTCTGCGCCACGGTGCCCAAGGATGGGCGCTCCTATTCGCCGATGCTGTTTGCTCAGACAGTCAGAGTCCTAAAGAAAATCAATAAGCCTGGGGACATGATCGTGGCTTTCAGTAACCTGGCCGAACGGATCAAGGTGAGAGAGGAAAAGGACAACGCTATTGGTGCTGTCAGCCATTTATCAATGCTTCTGCTAAGCAGAGTTCTCTATTGATATTTCACTGTGAAAGTTCTTGAATGTGCCCCTCGCTTCTTAACTGATCTCTCTCTCTCTCTCTCCCTTGCAAAACCCACTCACATTCTTCAGTCTCACTCTGGCTCCCCATCCTAGTATACCTCCTGGGATTCTCGCCCATTCACCGGGTCATTCTGTTCACTGACTCCACTTCCCTGTTTCTTTGCCCAGGCAGCCCCATGCCTCCTGGCTTCTTGTCACATTTATTTCCCATTCCTCCAGCCATTGGTTTCCAGTCTCTTGTTCAGCCAGTCCAAGTCTCTTCCCACCCACTGACTCCCAGCTTCCCTCTCCCCTCCAGTCTGCCTCTCATCCTCCTCGTGCCAGTCTGTTTCTCCCACCTCTGCACGGTCTTCCTTGACCCCCTTCGCATTCAGACTAGGCAGCTTCCTCTTACTGCCTGGGTAGCAGCAGCAGCAAGGGCACTGAAGGTATGTCTGCACAGGGATAAAAGGCATGTGTCTGGCCAGGGTCAGCAGACTAAGGCTTGCAAAGCTGAAAAATCATTGGCGCTAAAGCTCTGGGACTCTGTGAACGGGAGGATCCTAGATTCCAAACTAAGCCTCAGTGTCTACACAGCAGTTTTTAGCCCTACTGCTTGAGCCAGCCCTACTGTGGATCTTTTATTTCTACAAATGCAGAAGGGAGAGATTCTCTCCTGTTCCTTACCATGCCCAGACCTTGCATAGCTCACAGCAGCGTAGAGGTGCAGTTTTGGATAAACTCTTACTCAGACCCAGGCTGAGGATGCCCAGTGCAGACAGAACTTAAAAATTAAGAGATTTCTAATGAACTACAATCCCTCTTTCCCCCCCCACCCTGGCCAAATATGAGCAGAATCTTACAAGGATGGCAAAAGCTGCATCCCTGATACCCTGGCTACCTCCCCACCAAATTTCAAGCCCCTACTCCAAAGTGTGGTCATACTAGAACGTTTCAAAGAAAAGTTTGCCCGAATATTTTTAAATGGTAAAAACGACGTTTTCCTTGCCTTCATCTTGGAGCTGGCTGAACAGTTTTGACTGAAATTCTCCACACACAAAAAAATTAAGCCCAAGGCAGACACCAGCCATGTAAAAATTCAGCACAAACAGTTACAAATTGGCAAAGTTATAAGGAATGAGAAGAGGGTCTTAAAATATGAAGGGTGCATAGGGCAACATGAACAATAGGGTTAGAATTCCACCTCCACTTGTAATATGTGTACATAGCTTTGTAAACGTGCAATGTTTTACAAACCAATAAAAGATTATCCCTGATGTGAAGAGGTTAGTATGCTGTACAAGACAGTAAGCTGTAACAACTTCTGGAAATCCCCTCAGAGCTAGCCTGTCTCAGCTTCCACAAAGGTTTTGCTGGAAAATTAAAACTATGATGCTAATCAGTAACGATAGCCATGCTCCTCCAAAAAGCTTCCACACCCAATTTTGCCCTACAAGGCTTCTGTCCAGACAAGCAATAGCTGACAACTGTCTTCCAATAGATACTTATATTCTTAATGTTTTTGCTGTGTCTGAAATTGAAACCAGGAACTGATTTACATTTTGATGATATTTTAACAACTGTAACTATGCAAATGAAAGAACCATTAGACTTCTGGAGTTTGCAGAAGCAAAGCTGTGCACCCAGTGTTTATTTGCATGCCACAGCTGCGATATGTTATCTGGGTTCCTGCTGTTTCTTAGCCATCTTGGTGTCTGAGCTCTGGATATAAACCAAAAGATTTGGCAGAGCATCTGGTTATGTGCATGGTCACCTTCTGCCAGATAGTTTACAAGTAAGAAGTGGTGCCAGACTTTCTGCATTGCTAGGCTCCTCTCCTTTGTGAATACGAGAATTTAAGCTGCTTGACAAATTTTCACAAAGCCTAGTGTTAGTAGCTGTGCATGTATCTACCAGTCTCTTGCAGATCGACAGCAGCAAGAAGAGGAGACCTATGCAGATGCGTGTGATGAATTCCTGGATCCTATCATGAGCACTTTAATGTCTGACCCGGTGATCCTGCCATCTTCCCGAGTCACTGTGGATAGGTCAACAATAGCCAGGCATCTCCTCAGGTATTCAAGAAAAGTTAATTGCATCTGAATGAGGAGTTCAGCGATTCACTAAGAGCAGAGGATCCGGGTCCCTGGGCAAGTTGGGAGGAAGTTGGCTTTGTTCTCCCAGAAGGGGCAGGGCCTTGGGCTCAAGAGGCAGGGCAGGGGCAGTCAGCTCTGAATGCTGCCCAAATTGCGGCACATCTAGGGTTGCCAAATGGTTTAACCAAAAATACCAACCCCCCCCCCCCCAAAAAAAAAAAAACCATCAGGGAAAAAATTTTTTTAGGGGAAAAAAAGGTGGGAGACCAAAGTTGTTGAGCCCAAAAAAAAAAAAAAAAAGAGCCCTGAGTGTTTTTAAAAAAAAAAAAAATTAAAAAACCCCAGCATGGCCCCTTTAAGACCAGGTGCTGGGCTCTGCCTCTCCTAAAAGGCTGCCGGCAGCCGGTGGCCATCTTCTCTCCCTGCTCTGGACCAGACAGCTCCTCTGCAGTATCAGGTAAGTGAGAGGGATGGGCTGGACCTGGCCCGGTTGCTGAGTGTGTATAGGGTTGCCAGGTGTCTAATATTAACCCCAACAGTCTAGTATTTTCACCTCCTGGCAAGGAAAAAAAATTCAGAAAATACCGGATGTCCTGTATTTTCTGATTTTTTTTTTTTTAAACCAGACAGGAGGTGAAAATACCAGACTATCCGGGTCAATACTGGACAACTGGCAACCCTAGGCATGTCCCCCCGGCCCTAACCCTCAGCGCTGTCTGGAACGTGAGACATGGGGCTCCAGCAGCGATTAAAGGGTCTGGGCTCTTTTGAATTATCGGACCCTGCAGTTTGCTGGGGAGGAGTTGGTGTTTTTGCTGTCAGAAGTTGGGACAGGACCACGTGGCCATTCCCATGCATGTGTACAGCCATTCTCCTTTACAAATTTCCCACGGTTGTTCTAGAGCCTAAGATCTTAGCTATGTTGGATTTGCAAGTGGCTATAATCCATCTGTTTTCAAAAGTGCTAACGATTTATTAGCCAGGTGTAGTTTGTATGCCTGGACCCTATGGCATTGTGCAGACCACATTTTTGCTTGTGTTTTTAATGAAATAAAGCACAGGAGAGGTGCTCCAGCCTACAAATTGAAGTTGGGGGGGTGGGAGGAGAATATTAAGACTTTTTAATTTAAAAGCAATTTGAATATTAGGAAAACTGCAGGTGTTTCTTCATTCTGATTGTAGGTTGAGCATGTTAGTGAGTACAGATAAAAACCAGAAATGTTTTCCAATAAAAGCATGAGCATAGGAGATTTGCTTTTTTTCATCCTAGTAGCAGCACATTTTAATCTGTGTATAAATAATCATCTTCTGTGTGTTATGAATCAGAGGTTTAGTAGCTGGTCTGTGTTGTGCTTTGTTCTCTCTAATACTGTTGTATACTCTTGTACTTAGGTGTATTGTGAACCTAGACATTTTAGCCTCAGATGCACCTCTGAAAATGATGAGAATGGTGGTGTCTGACTTTTGGAGGATGTTTGGTGAAGCCTAATGATTACATGTAGTGGATCAGTATCCATAGGCAGGTCTGATTCACTTGATGGAACAGTGGCTGTGCATGTCTGTGGACCATGTTTTTGGCTTCATATGGTTACTTTTTAATCATAAAACAGTAGTCATAGACTGAGTCTCCTGGACTTTCTCTCTTTCTTACAGTGACCAGACAGATCCTTTCAATCGCAGCCCCCTCACTATGGACCAGATCAGACCAAACATAGAACTAAAGGAGAAGATCCAGCAATGGCTTGCAGAGAGGAAAAAGCAGAAAGAGCAGCTAGAGAACACACTAAAATGAACAAATGAAAAAACATCCTGACAAATGAACAAAAGTTTATTTGCAAGAGTGAAATCCCCTTGCAGAGACAATGGCTGGTGCTCCAGAGAATCTGTGAATCAGTGCTACAGTCTACTCTTTAACCACGATTGCATTTAGTGCATTGCCACTAGACCTGGAGCCTTGCTTAGGCCCTTCCTTTTATCCCCTTCTATTTTTTGTTTCCATTAAGTCTTTTCAAAAATATCAGAACCCTCAACTACATCACAAATTCTCAGCTCAAGAATCCCTATGGTCCCTTCTTGCACTGTTGGCCACTGGTTAATTTTCTTGTGTTTGTTCTTCACAGCATTCACTGTGTTTTAATGAATGTCATGTCACACATTTCAGTGGCTGTTAGCCACCACAAAATCTCTCTTCTTCTGGTACTGCTGCTTTGGCTCCAGACCTATTCAAACTATGTAATGTTCTATCATACTATGTTTAGTGTGGAAAAAAAATTGTGTGTCCACAGCAGCCCTTAAATTAGATGTGTGTGAGGATGGAAGAGGTTCTCTTATGCAGTGTTGTCTGTAAATATTGGTTGAATACAAGGGTTGACGTTCAGCGTGGTCCATGGCAATGGGGCAGCACTGAAATTGAAACATTTAGAACACCATCTGAAAGTTGGATGTGACTGA